TGGAAACCGAAGGAAAATTGTCACGTAGAGAAGATCGCGAAGTTATTTGTACAAAACCTTCTCTCTTGGTTTAGTATGGATTCTTGCTCTGATGATGTCTGTCACGGTGGTACAGACGAAAGCTTGTCACAGTTTCATCAGAGTCGCCGGACGATGAGCCGAGCACTTCTTCGCCCACTTGACCAGTCCTCCTTCCTTTTTCCGGTGCGACCACGTCACCAATTCCTTCCTACCAACATTCGCGTTGAAATGGAGAGTCATGTCACAATATGTCACCAAGCAATTCTTTGAAACCCACGTTTTCTTCATATTCATTATTTGGCCAACTAGTGTTTTAACTATGTTCGTTAACTCAATACACCTCACCCGGAGACTCTGGGCACAATAACACAGATTCACTTTACCAGTTCATTTCAATCAATCTTTTCTTCGAATCACGCATACACACATACACACACAAACACACATTTGCATTATATGATCCCTTGATTGGTCCGTTTTTCGCAATTTGATCGCATAAGACCCGATCGGGCCATATTTCTTCCAACACCGCATACTATTACATAGCAGATACTACTCAAATGAGTAGTTGATATTCCAGATTGTCTCACCTGTGTCGGGCTTTTTTCAGTTTGCCGTCCAGACTGGCGCCGGGCGGCGAGCTCGGGCCTGAGGAGTAGACGGTGTCGAGGCCGAGACTGTTGATGGGCGAATAGGCCTGTGCTAGACCATGTGAGTGTGCCAACGCATGTGCATGTGCCTGTGTGTTTGTGTGCGCTTGTGCGTTTGAGTGTGAATGTGAATGCGGATATGGGTTTGGATGTGGTTGGGGTTGTTGTTGTTGTTGTTGTGTCATTGTATGCATTTGTGTCTGTGAGTGTGCGGTGTGTGCATGTATGTGCATTTGTGCATTTGTGTGTGTAAATACCTGTGCAGGTGTTTGTATGTGAGCGGGAAGGTGTGTATGTGTATGCTCCAGCATAGGGTGGTCTGCATAACTGGGGGCCTGCATGTGCGACTGAGTGTGTGGACTTGTGGCTGGCGCGAGGTGTTGTTGGTGGTGATGCGGCTGTGGGTGTGTATGACGCTGTAGGTGTTGTTGATATTGATGTTGATGTTGATGTTGATGCTGATGTTGATGCTGATGCTGATGTTGATACTGGTTTCCGGTGAGGAGGAGAAGGGCCGAGGCGCTGGGGAAGCCGGGCGTCATGAGGAGGCCGCTGGTGGCCGGAGTCTGTCCGAGACCGGTGGTGGAGTCGAGTCCCCCGGCGACTGGACAGGTCAAAAGTGAAGGGAGCGAGTCGGAGGAGAGTGCGGTCGGACAGGTGGTCTCGAGTGCTGGTGGGAGAAGGGGTGGGAGAGGTGGGAGGGATGGGAAGGGTGGGAGACCGGTGGATGCGAGCAGGTCGGCGGGACTCAAGCTCGGTTGTCGGTGGGCCTCGGTGGGGAGGAGGAGGGAAGTGGAAGGCCGGTTGGTGGGTAGCGCCACGATCGAGTCGACCGAGGAAACGAGGCCGGACGCGCCGGTGAGGCGTCTAGCACTGGCCGACGGAGATGGGCAATGGCCGCTGAGTGGGTAGCAGGTTGAGTCGAGTCTGAGAGTTGAGGCGAGTGGAGAGAGCGGTGGAAGAAGAAGGAGGAGGAGGAAAAGGTAGAGGAAGAGAAGAAGAAAGAGGAGTAAGAGGAGAAAGAGGAGAAGCAAGAAGGAAGAGGAAAAGTAGGAGGAAGAGGAGGAGGAGAAGGAAGAGGAGGAGGAGAAGGAAGAGGAAGAGGAGAAGAAAGAGGAGTAAGAAGAGAAAAAGGAGAAGCAAGAAGGAAGAGAAGAAGGAGAAGGAAGAAGAAAAGGAGGAGGAAGAGGAGAAGGAGAAAGAAGAATAGGAGGAAAAGAAAAAGGAGGAGAAGGAGGAGGTGGAGAAGATGGAAGAGGAGGAGGAAAAGGATGACGAGGACAAAAAGTAAGAAAAAGAAAAGGAAGAAAAGAAGGAGGAAGAGGAGAAGGAGGTGGAGGAGGACAAGAAGAAGGAAGTGGAGGAGGAAGAGTGGTAGAAGGAGGGGGAAGAGGAGGAGGAAGAGGAAAAGGAAGAGGAGGAGGAGAATGAAGAGGAGAAGGAGAAGAAGGAAGAGGAGGAGAATAAAGAGGAGAAGGAGAAGGAGGAGGAAGAGAAGAAAGAGAAGGAGGAGAAGGAGAAAGAGGAGGAGAAGTAGGAAGAGGAGGACGAGAAGGAGCGAGAAGGAAGAGGAGGAGGAGAAGAAGGAAGAGGAGGAGAATGAAGGAGAGAAAGAGAAGGAAAAAAAGGAGGAGGAAGAAAAAGGAAGAGAAGGAGGAGGAGGAGGAACATGAGGAGAAGGAGGAGGAGAAGAAGAAAGAGGAGGAGGAGAAGTAAGTAAAGGATAAAAAGGGGTTGGAGGAGAAGGAAGAGGAAAAGGAGAATGAAGAGAAGAAGGGGAAGAAGGAAGAGGAGAATGAAGAGAAGAAGGGGAAGAAGGAAGAGGAGGAGAATGAAGAGGAGAAGGAGGAGGAGAAGGAAGAGGAGGAGAATAAGGAGAAGGAGAAGGAGAAGGAGAAGGAGGAGGAGGAGAAGGAAGAGCAAGAGGAAAAGTAAGTGGAGGAAGAAGATGAGCAGAAGCAGGAGAAGGAGTAGAAGGAATAAGAGAAGGAGGAGGATGAAGTGGAGGAGGAAGAGGAGGAAGAGGAAGAAGAGATAAAGTGGAGGAGTAAGTGTGGTAGGAGTAGGAAGAGGAGGATGAGAATGGAGAGGAGGAGAAGAAGGAGTACCATCAGGAGAAGGAGGAGTAGGGGAAGAAGGAAGAGGAGGAGGAGGAGAAGAAGAAAAAGAAGGAAGAG